TTTGGCGTACCACTCTCTCCAGGTCCTCCTCCAACCTTGTTGGCTGTTACTTTTCTGGTTCCTTTGCTGTTTTCATTTCCCTAATTTCTAAATATTGGGAGTATTGTGGTGGTTAATATTCTGTATCCTTGCCACTGTCTGTCTGGTCTCTAATCCAGTGGTTTTAAATAACACTTATATGCTCAGGACACCCACATTTACACCTCCAGCCTGGACCTCTACCCTGAACTCCACTTTCATCTAATTGCTTACTATTCGTCTACTTGTAGACACCTCCAATTCAGCATGTCCTTAAAATCCTCTTGATTTCCTCTCCAGACTTGCTGCTATCACTGAGTCTTTCCTATCTCAGTAAATGACACTTTCAGTTGTATAGACCAAAAAACTTTGAGAATGTTTTTCCTCCTACCCTACATCTAGTCCATTTAACAACTCCGGTCAGGCCTAACTTCTAAATATTTTCCACATCCACATCACTCCCCTGACTGTTACCACTGTAGTCCTAGCCAACATTATCTTTCACCTAGACAGTCACATAGCCTACTAACTGGCCCTGCTTGTACCCTTATGTATAATTTTTCATATAGCAGCTGGAGTGATACTTTAAAAAAATTTCAAGTCAGATCAAAACACTTTTTCACTCATAACTCCAAGGGCTGAGACTAACTTCAAGACTCACAATAAAGCTACTGTAATCAAGATAGTGTGGTATTGGTGAAAGAAACAACTAATGGAATGGAACAGAGAGTCCAGCGTGGCAGGTTACAATCCCAGTTCTGCTGACTAGCTAAAAAAATTTTAGGCAAATTATTTCAGTTTTCCTCATCTGTAAAATGATTCCTTCCTTTATAGGGTTGGCATGAAGATTAAATGAGATAATACATGTAAAAGCATTTAGACCAGGCATGGTGACTCATGCCTGTAATCCCAGCACTTTGGGGGGCGGAGGCAGGCGGATCACTTGTTCACAGGAGTTTGAGACCAGCCTGGGCAACATGGTGAAAACTGTCCCTACCAGACATACAAAACTTAGCCAGGCATGGTAAAAACTAAAAGCACTTAGCACATTGCCTAAGACATGGTGAGAACTTGATAAATTTTAGAATTTGTACATTTTCTAATTTGATCTTGGTAGGACTCATAAGAAAGAAGCAGGTCAAGTACTATTTTCATTTTTTAGATAAGGAAACATTCAGGGACAGTAGGTATTTGGTGATGGTCAAATGATTAGATAATTGGCAGAGCCAGTACTAAGGCCTAGTACAGAATTTGTGCAGTATTACTTATCTCAGGCTAGGATAGGAAAGATTATGCCCCGAAGAGATTTTTTTAAAAAAACACTGAAAGCAAAATTTAAAAACAAATGATTCAGGCAGCATTTTAATCTATTTTCATCTACACTGATTAAAAAGTTATTGTTAGCCCAATTTTTTATTCCTGATACAAACTCATTCTTTTGGTATATTGTTGGATTTAATTTAATATTTTCTTAGGAATTTTGCATGTATATTCATGAATTAGATTAGCTTATGACTCTCCTTTTTTGTAATGTTTTTGTCAGATTTTAGTACCAGAATTTTTCTGGCATCATAAATTGTATTGGGGTGTGTTTACTTTTTTTCCATTCTCTGGAAGTGTTTGTATAACATTGGTGTTATTTTTTTCCTTAAATGTTTGCTATAATCCTCTAATGAAGCCATCTGGATCTGAAATCTTTTTGTATGTGTGTGGAAGTATTTTTAATTGTGGATTTCATTTATTCAGAGGACTTTTAAGGTTTTTTTAAATGTAATTTTTCGTTTATTCAGATAATAGTTTATTTATTGTTAGAATTTTGACTAACAAAGCTATATTTTGAGCTTCAAAAATTTAATGCTGGCCATCGCTTAGGTTTCCTTTAAATTTTTTGATTAAAAAATGTAAAATACATATACCATTAAATTTACCATTTTAACCATTTTTAAGTGTACAGTCAGTAGTGTTCTGTACATCATTCACAGTATTTTGGAACCAATCTCCGCAACCCTTTTCATCTTGTAAAACTGAAACTGTATCCATTAAACAACTCCTCATTCGCTCATGCCTCAGCTCCTGGCAACCACAAGTCTACTTCCTGTTTCTTATGAAATTGACTACTCTAGGTACCTCATATAAGTGGAATCATATAAATGATATAGTGTTTGTCATTTTGTAACCTTTTTTTTTGAGATGGAGTCTCGCTCTGTTGCCCAGGCTCTGGAGTGCAGTGGCATGATCTCAGCTCACTGTAACTTCTACCTCCTGGGTTCAGGCGATTCTCCTGCCTCAGCCTCCCAAGTAGCTACAGGCTACAGGTGCATGCGACCACACCTGGCTGATTTTTTTTGTGGTTTTTTTGGTGGAGGTGGTCTTTCACTACGTTGGCCAGACTGGTCTCAAACTTCTGACCTCAAGTGATCCTCCCGCCCTGGCTTCCCAGAGTGTTGGGATTACAGGTGTGCCGTGCCCAACATCTTTTTTTTTTTTTTTTTAAAGACAGGGTCTTGCTCTGTCACCCCAGGCTGGAGTGCAGTGGCATGACCTCGACTCACTGTTACCTCTACCTCTGGGGCTCAGGTGATTTCTCCCACCTCGGTCTCCCAAGTAACTGGGACTACAGGTATACATCTGGCTAATTTTTATATTTTTGGTAGATAGATACAGACAGGGTTTTGTCATGTTGCCCAAGATGGCCTTGAACTCCTGAGCCCAAGTAATCTGCCTGCCTTGGCCTCCCAAAGTGCTGAGATTACAGGTGTGAGCCACCATGCCCGGCCTGTCTTATTTCACTTAGCATAATATCTTCAAAGTCAATCATGTTTTAGGGTGTATCAGAATTTCTTTTATAAGGCTGAATAATATTTCATTGTATGTATATACCACATTTTGTTTATCCATCTATCAATGGGTAGTTAGGTTGCTTCCACCTTTTGGCTATTGTGGCTAATGCTACCCGAACATGGGTGTACAAATAACTCTTCATTCAGTTCTTTCTGCTTTCACTTCTTTTGAGCATATACCCAGAAGTAGAATTGCTAGATCACATGGCAATTCTATTTTTCATTTTTTGAGAAACCAGCATACTGGTTTTCAAAGTGACTGTACCATTTTGTATTTCCACCAATAGAGGACTTTTTGAATTTGATGTATAATACTTTTTTTTTTTTTTTTTTTTAAAGACAGGGTCTTGCATTTTGCTCAGGCTAGACTCAGACTTCTAAGCTCCTAAGCCTCCTGAGTATCTGAGATTACAGGCACAAGATACTGTGCCTGGCTGTATAGTACTTTAGTGTATCCATAAGTTTTATTTCTCTAGGAATTTGTCTGTTTCATCAAACTGTCAAATTTATTGGCACAATGTTTGTAATGTTTTCAGTAACTGTAGTGATTTTTTTTCCCACTTCTGTTATATAAGTCCTTTTCCTCCTTTTTAAAAGAAATTAGGGCCAGGAAAGATGGCTCATGCCTTAATCCCAGCACTTTGGGAGGCTGAGGTGGGCAGATCACCTGAGGTCGGGAATTCGAGACCAGCCTCGCCAACATGGTGAAACCCCATCTCTAATAAAAATACAAAAAAATTAGCCAGACGTGGTGGTGTATGCCTGTAATCCCAGCTACTCCTGAGGCTGAGGCAGGAGAATCGCTTGAACCTGGGAGGCAGAGGTTGCAGTGAGCCAAGACCGCATCATTGCACTCCATCCTAGGCAACAAGAACCAAACTTCGTCTCAAAAAAAAAAAAAAAAAA